AAGTCCAATTACGTGCTCATTTATCCAGCCCCACCCGTCCCTGCACGCCACAAACCCTCCTCCCCTCTCCCCTGTGAACTCCTACAGCCGAACTCCCCCCCCCCCTTCCCCCCCCCCCCCCTCCCGTGCCTATATAAAGCCACAACAGCAGATCATTTTTCTCACCTGAAGACGGACACTTGTGTTGCGACCGAAACGTCGTGTTTTCTTTTATTTATTTGACTTTACCGAAAGATCCAGAGAGTATAGAGGTAAGCGGGTGGAGGGGCCAGACGTCCATTAGGTGTCAGCTACACTCGTCTAGTACGCACGAGGAGGTCGTGGGTGCGATCCAGACCCTGACGCGTGTACTTTCTGGAGTTGGCGTGTCTCTCTCTCTCTCACTCTCTCTCCCCGTGGTCGCGTGGATTTTTCTCCGGGTCCCTCTGAGTTTTCCCTCCACGTTTGAAATCAACGTCACGCGTTTCGAGGTATTCGGCTGCTGCTATAAATCGCCACGTGATAAGCCACTTCGTTGGGCTATCATTTGCGACGAGGTCGCTTGTGAAAAAGAGCTACATAGCTCAGTGAGCCTTACCTGGTAAAATAATACAATAGTTTACAAACTTGATTTGAAGCTTTCGTGACTGTAGGAATTACTCTTTGGTTATTTTGGTTAAAGTCACGTAGAAAGAAAACAAATGAAATACTAGAATACGACGTTTCGATTGCAGCACAAGCAACCGTCATCAGGTAGAACTAAATTTGAGAGAGAGACAAAACACAGACACGGAGACACACAGACAGACACACAAGCAGAGAGAGACAACACCGAGACACACAACATAGACACACAGAGACCCAATGCCTCTGTGTCGAGGCCTTAAATAGAGAGAGAGGGGGGGGGGGGGGTGGCAGAGAGAGAGGTGTGGGTCTGTTTTATTTATTGTATTTCTACGTGACTTTACCGAAAGAACCGAAGAGTAAAAGAGCTTACTTTAATTAGTTAAAGAGCCAGTGGAAAACCACCCGTGCCGTGCTGGCGCAGGTCGGATGCACAAGTGGAAATTGATCAAATGTCGAGTACATTCGTATAAAGAAAAGTTAACCGATTGCATCAGTCCACCCACGCGGACACTCTGTCGCTGTTGGACATGAACCGTCTAAAGAGATGAACCTGCATGCGGAGCTCTGACTTCGAGAGGAAGGTATCACCGTGTCGGCCTTGTTTGGATGCCGCCAGCTGGTCGATAGGATTAAGTGGGGTCAAGAAGCCCTGTTAGCCCGAGCGTGGACAGCGCTTTGTGGTTGTCACCCGGCCCAAGCACCACCCTGCTTAGTTTTCACGAGATCTGCCATGTTCAGGGTGATCTTGTCACAGGCCACTTCCCACCGAAGGGTTTTTTTTTTTTAAAGAGCAAAAAGGGGAGCTCTTGAAGGGCTCCCCGTGCTCCCCCTCCAATCCACTCTGCGACACGCAGCAGACATCCGCTTCTGAAAGGTCCATTTGTGACCAAAATCTCCGCCGTGGAGTCCAGTGTTGACAACGTGAGCTGGCTGAGCTGTCGCTGCCTGCTTTGTCGCTGAGAAGGGGAGTGTGGGATACGTGCAGGTATGGGGAATTGCATGTGTGTGTGTGTGCGTGCGCCGAGTGATGAGCAGTGGCGTTGTGGGTTAGCACGCTGCGCTACGAACCCGGCGACCTGAGTTCGATTGCCGATCACGGGCCAACATCGGTGACGCATATCTGGACCTGTCCTGGGCTTTCCCTAGGTCGACTCAGCCTGAAATGAGTACTTGGTGCGGTGTGTAAAAACATCGCCGACGGGGAGACAAATGCGGCCGAGCGTGGTGCTGTGCCGGCCTTCATTGGTGCTCCACTAACATAACTTGCCCCAACAGTCTGTTAGAGGCTACACGGGGGGGGGGGGGGGGGTCTTTGTGAGTGCCTGTGAGTCGGTATCAGTGTGTGTCTTTGTTTTAACAGTTGAACACGTAAGCTTTCGCGACCAATATCATCCATAATAGAGTGTTTTTTTTCGGTTAGATCGCGTTAATATATAAATCTGTCGTTAAACCCGCCACCACCCGTAAACAGAACGTGCCAATTCGTCACTAGGACAGCACACGGGTTTGTTGGAGAGCCAAGCCACAACATTTACAATCTGAGTACGACGTTGTTTTGTTTTCTTTGTTTTGTGTCTGTGTGTACAAGTCTGTGTGTGTATGTGTGTCTGTGTGTGTGTGCGCGTGTCTTGTTGTGTTTGTGTGCCTGTATGAGTGTGTGTGTGTGCACATGCCCATGTGTACTTGCGTCAGTGTGTCTGTGCCAGTTCGTGTGAGTGTGTGCCGGTGTCATAGTGGGGAGCGATAGTGTAGCAGTTTGCGCGCTGCGCAATGAACCCGGCGACACGGGTTCGATTCCCGCTCACGGCCAACACCAGTGACGATTATCTGAACCGGTCCCGGGCCTCCCCTAGGTCGACTCAGCCTCAAATGAGTACCTGGTGCGGTGTGTAAACATTGCCACTAGGGAGACAAAGGCGATCGGGCGTGGTGCTGGCCACCCACCCCCTCTTGTACCGTTCCGGCCTTCATAGGTGCTCGCTAACAGCACTTGCCCCTATAGTCTGTTAAGGCTATATGGGGGGTCTTTGTTTGTGCCGGTGTCATAGGTGCTCGCTAACAGCACTTGCCCCAACAGTCTGTTCAGGCTATACGGGGATCGTTGTCATTGTCTGTGCCGGTGTCATTGTGTCTAAGCCAACTTGTGTGTATGTGAGCGGTCTGTATTTGTTGTTGTTATGTGTGTGTATGTGAATATTGTCCCAAAGGTCAATGCGTGTTTTTCATACGTTTAATTCGCTTTTCAAAATGTATTCATAAGGTTTAAGAAATAATTTTAATAGAATTGTGGCAGAGGCGCATCTGATAAAAGTTGAATGTCAAAACGTTGTATTGTTACGCCCACATATACCCAACACACACATACAGCACACACAACACACTATTTATGAGTGGCCAAAACCTATTGAATTACGCTATTATCGAGAAGAGGTGCTACACCCATTCATATTGCGATGTAAAGGCGCAGCCCTGCAATTGCTTGCTCGTGCCACTGCGTGCTCTCTCTCTCTCTAAGAGAGCGAGCCTCTCTGGAGCCTTCGAGGATACGTATGCACTTTGGCCTACTCTTCCACGACGGGCAGACGTCTCGGAAGACATGGGAGTTACCCACGCTTTGCCCCACCACGTGAGACTTGCGTTTAGATTATCTAGATTATTTGGCTGCTACACATCTCCACATGACAAGCCACATCGTTGAGCTATAATGTATGGCCAGGTCGCTTCTAAAAAAGAAGGTAATAGTACTCTTTGGTTCTTTTGGTAAAGTCACGTAGGTATAAAAATAAAATAAAATGTATTTTATTTTTATTTTATAAAAATAAAAATGTATTTTATTTAAAAATAAAAATGTTTTTTTAATTTTTATTTTATTTTTATACCTACGTGACTTTACCGAAAGAACCAAAGAGTATGGACCCCTGCAGTCACGAAAACTTCCGATCTAGAAAGAAGCTAATAGCTCAGTAGGTTTTAGCTGGCGAGATGACACGTCTATTTATTTATTTATATGTTAAGTGACTTCACCTGCCCCAACTGGACATCTGTGAAAAAAGAGCTTTATAGCTCATCGGATTCCTCCAGTATAAATAAACATTCTGATTTTGGTGTAGCGATTTATTTGCAGCGCATACGCTGCTGCTGATTGATGGGCAGATGCAGGAGAAGGGGTTTCTATGAACTTTGTACAATTGTTAAAACTGCCACGCTGGGAGATCATGCTAACCACTGCACCACGGAAGCATTCCCCATTTATCAGCATCAGAATCGAAATATTTGTTTCTACTGGAGGAATCCGATGAGCTATAAAGCTCTTTTTTCACAGATGTCCAGTAGGGGCGGGTCAGAACGTTGTAACAACGAATACAAAAACACGATCGGAGTGCAAAGTAGAGGAAAGGTAAACACATCACAACACATTTCAAATCATTAATTAGGTTTTATTTTACCAGGTAAGGCCCACTGAGCCGTATAGCTCTTTCAGAAGTGACCTGGCCATAAATGACAGCTCAACGAAGTGGCTCATCATCACGTGGCAATCTATAGCAGCCAAATAATTTAAATAATGTAAATGCATAATTATCGAAGGGGCCGTCCATAAATGACGTCACGCGATTTTGGCCCATTTTTGACCCCCCCTCCCCCCCTCGTCACACGGCGTCACCAAAAGTTAAACCCCCCTCAAATATGACGTCACAAAGCTCTGCCCCCCCCCCCAAACCATATTTCTATTTTTAAAATATAACATGCTTCAAATAACTTCAAACTATTGTCATTGTAGTGCGTATTTAATGTGGCGCTGCATTCCGATTTTGTAGGAGAAAACATTTATTAAAAAGGAGGCGTTGGAAAGCAGAAATTTTGCATAAAATTCACTTGAAAATATTCAACGTCTAAGTAAAACTGCAGATGTTCAGAATATTATATTGAAATTCTCTAATAATTATAAAATAGTAAAAGTAATTATAACTATAAAAAAACGATACTTGAAACTTCGTAGTAGAACGAAGCAAAACGGAGAGTACAATGATAACAATCACATATTCATTCCACAGAATGAAAAGCCCTGGTAGAATAATTAAAATCAAACTGTTTAATAACAATAATTCAAAAATAAAATACCAAAATGTAAGCTTCTCCATTCTCCAATGGAGAAACAAAAATGCTCCTTCACGGAATAAATAAAAGGAGACCGAGGTAAATTTAAATAATCAAATAGTTAATAATGAAAATCTAACAGTTATATTGTTTATATTTATTTATTAAAGTTGCGCATTTTGATGTGACGTCACATTTCTCAAACCTACCCCTCCCCCCCTCGTCACACATCGTCACAAATGTCTGACCCCCCCCTCCTCCCCCCCCCTAGGTGTGTGACGTCATTTATGGACGGCCCTTAAACGCACGATAATCTAAACGCATCGAAAGTGCAAGTCAATCGATATTTTAATATTGGTATTCTGCACATGGCATGGCATGGTTTCTTCATCTGACGCAGGCAGCCACTAGGGGCCGCTACATTCACAGCCGGAGTAATCGATTCTCGAATCGAATATCGATTTATAGATCATGAAATCGACGCGAAAACGTAGTCCGCACTCTCGATTTGAAGCTTGCCCCCACCCGATGAAGGACGCTTGTGTTGCGCCCGAAACGTCGTGATTTATTTTATTTTATACCAACGTGACTTTACCGAAAGAACCAGAGTATGAGATCCGCACTGTTTACATTTGGGCAAGACCATTGGCCTTGACGAGGGAGGGGGGGGGTGTATTCTGTAGCGAGTGGTCGCTACCACCTTCATCACACGCTCATTGCATTCACCGAACACACACGCCTACTATTATAAATAATTTTAAATATGTGTAACTTTGTGGCAGTACTTAAATCGTAAGAGAAGAGTGGTGTTTCTATAATAATTGTTTATGCACACCCCCTCGCCAAATGCAGCCAAGATGGGTTGCTCCTTTTCCGTCCCTAGCAACGGAGTGGAGCTGTTGCTAGGGGCGCCGTGTAGCTTCCGTGTGGGCTTGAAGGCAGAGCAATACAATGTCTAAAACTCCCAGAAAGAAAGAACTCTCGGCAAAAGGGAATGCGCCCAGCCTTGGGCAACCTTCCAACAACAAGGAGTGAGTAGCTATCCTCCCCCCCTCCACCACCACCACCACTACCCACCACCTATGCACGCTCACCAACACACACACACACACCGATATATACGTTCGCCTCACGAAGGTAAACTTCCGCGAATTTCTCCCGCCATTCGGATTGTCTTATCATCATCATGATGAGCCACGGTCAATCCACTGCTGGATGATCGCAGGGATCGTTTTTTTTATCAACACTTGCACCTCACGCAGACGAGGTTCGATTTCACGGCTGCATCTACAAAAGTGGTCGTTCCCGTGTGTGATGCGTTTCATCACCACCACCACCCATCAGCACCCATCCCATTCTCTCGTCCGTGCACCATCATCACCATCACCACCATCAGCACCCATCCCAATCTCTCGTCCGTGCACCATCACCACCAGCACCCATCCCAATCTCTCGTCTGTGCACCATCATCACCATCACCACCACCATCAGCACCCATCCCATTCTCTCGTCCGTGCACCATCATCACCACCACCATCATCAGCACCCATCCCAATCTCTCGTCCGTGCACCATCATCACCATCACCACCACCATCATCAGCACCCATCCCATTCTCTCGTCCGTGCACCATCATCTCCATCACCATCAGCACCCATCCCATTCTCTCGTCCGTGCACTACATATGTAGTAGTAGCTACTACATATAGTAGTAACGACTACATATGTAGTAGCTACTACTACATATGTAGTAGTAGCTAGTAGCTACTACTACATATGTAGTAGTAGCTACTACTACCACAATGCTTGTGGTTAATACATATGTAGTAGTAGTAGTTACTACTACATATGTAGTAGTAGCTACTACAAGTTGAAGGCTTGGAATAGTACTATAGTAATGGAGAAAGTGCAAAATCACTGAACCGGAATTCAAAGTGCGGGGCCCGTAGCTATATATTATCAGAGTATGTTTTTTGTTTGCATTCTCACCACAAGCATTGTGGTTAATGCAGACAAGATTCCTTGTAGAAGGTTTCAGTTTGATGTTCTTAAATCTTAACGCCTGTTTGTTTTGCTGCCACAAAAAAGGGGAAAAAAAACGTATTATCAAATTTTGGTACTGGCAATGGAGGTCCCGTGATATATGAAAAATTTGTCTTTTAATATTTACGTTTTTTTTAATTTAGGGACCCTTTATAACGTGTGGTACAGGTCCCACATTAGCTGAATCCAGCACTGGCTAGGTGGAAGGGTTCACGCTCGCTGCGCTGCGAGACCGGCGGCCCGAGTTCGATCTCACGAAGTGACGACCATTGTCTTGCACCGTGCCTTGGGCCCCCTCGAGGTCGACTCAGCCCCAAATGGGTACGGCATCTGGTGCGGTGTATTAAACATCGCCACTGGGGAGACAAAAGCGGCCGGGCGTGGTTCTGGCCACCCCATCGCTTCGTGTACCGTGCCGGCCTTCACAGGTGCTGCTCGCTAACAGCACTTGCCCCAAACAGTCTGTTACAGGCTACACAGGGGATCTTTGCCTTTAAAAAAAACAACTAATCTGATGCCATATTGTCGTTGTTTTCTCTCAGTGTAGTTCTGCACTCCCTCCTTCTGCCCGTGGCTCCGTGCACTTTTCAGCTTGTTCTTCCATTTTCTATGCCGTTTCGCGAAACAATTGTCTCCTTCGTTTAACAAAGACGCGAGTATCCCCCGCCCACCCCCTCCCGGTGAGGCAATTATCAATAGATGTCCGCATCAGTGACAACACAATGAAGAACCAGAGATATTGGCTTTGTATAAATTGACCGAATGCAACGTGTCACATCAGCTCAGCGTGGGCTACGTGTGCAGCGAGCGAGTCTGAATTCGCGAGCTTCGTAGGAGCGCGAGAGATGGAGCCGCCTCGTGGGAGGAGGATGCTTTCATCCAGCAGTGGATTGATCATGTTTGATGATGGTGGTGATAATGATGTAACGTCATAATCACGACTCCCGTGGGTCGTGTAAAAAAAATAATGAGGAATTGCGTCGTTGACGATTGTGACCGATGTACGAATAGCCTTCATAAACGTTAGGTTAAAAAAATTATATATAAATAGATATGCGAGGATATATTGATTCATTGATTAATATTGATCACCGATGGAGGAACCCCAGCCTGGAGCGGATCGATTAAATCATCTTCTGTGCAGATTGCGACGGCACGGGGAGGTTTTCACCCAGCAGTGGATTTCTCATGGCTAAAAATGATTATGTAATTTCACATCACAGTAATTTTGGATTATATATTAAAACATATATAAGGAATGGGACAATGTCCGATTATGACTAGCTAATAATAATAATGATGGCCTACGCTTGACATAACCCAATGCAATGTGGATTTATACAGCGTCTAGATGTGATCGCATCTCAACAAAGCTGTGCAGTACCAGTGGCAATAGTTATTGTATCAAGAGGCAGTCAGTCACAGGTCTATCAGAGTGAGTCTGTGGGTCTCTATGTGAGTCTATGCGTCTCTGTGAGTTTATGGCTCTCTATGTGAGTCTATGTGTCTATGTGAAACCATGGGTCTCTATGTGAGTCTATGCGTCTCTGTGTGAGTCTGTGGGCCTCTTTCTGAGTCTATGCGTCTCTGTGAGTTTATGGCTCTCTATGTGAGTCTGTGTCTGTGTGAGACCATGGGTCTCTATGTGAGACTATGGGTCTCTACGTGAGTATATGGGTCTCTATGTGAGTCTACGGATCTCTATATGAGTCTATGGTTCTCTGTATGAGTCTGGGTATCTCTACGTGAAAGTCATAGCCAGAGGAGCAGAGGAAGGCTTTGAGCCTGGACCTGAACATGGGGCGGGGAGTCGACAGCTGAGACTGATGGGGGGGGGGGGGCATTACCCTAATTAGTCTTCAAATGGGTACCACACGAACTGTGCAGAGGTGTACCCATTGATACAGAGGCGGTGGTTTTAATAAACTTGCACCATTGTTTCAAATTCCTGGCCTACATCGAACCGGCTCCTCTGAGGTTGCGAAAGCCCAGCGTGCTAACCGTTACACCGCTTCAGCAGCAGCAGCCTCCTCCTCTAATCTGGACAACGTACGTCTCTCCGAATCTTCCTTTCCCATGGACCGCGCGCGGCGAGAATGCTCGGCGCATCGCGATTCTTCGGGATGGATCTGGCACCATTGGCGTGCACGGGGGTGAGGGGGGGGGGACCCGCTTTCAATTGCAACCCCTCCAGGGATCACTTCTCTTAGCCTGGCAGTTCCACTCTTAATTGGTTCACGGTGCAATAGAGACGAGACTTGGCAGGGCCAGACGGGGATTTAACCTCCTGTTGATGATGGCAGCGATATCTGGAGCTCATGATGAGAAAAAGTGACTGGGGCCCGTGCAAAACTAAAACGAGATACGGATCAATGCGCTGTTCAGAGAAAGCGAGGTTTTTTTTTCTTCACGTGTGTGTGTGTGAGCAAAGCGATCGATTTTCAGGCTGCTTGGTCCAGCATGGTATTGAGGTTAAGATTTTTTATATGAATCGCCATGATCATCATCACGATCATCAACTTGGTGAACTCTGGCCATGGCTCGCTAACATTGGTCACAAGTGATGTCTTCGGGTTCACAGTACAGAGTGCTAATAACTGGATCAGCGCCCCTCCTAAAATTCCATAACCAAGATCTGTCCACTGCTAGATGAAGACCTCCCCAACCATACGGACACACAAATTCGGAGACTGACTTCACTTATTTTTTGGCGTGTGAAAGTGGTGAGGTTAAGATTGTTGAAAGTAATATGTCATAATAAAAATAATCTAATTTAGAGACCCCTTTGTCAATCTACTGTTGGATGAAGGCCTCCCCAGGCCATGTCAGTTGTGGGGATTGTTTGACCATACTTCACCAATGCCTGTCAGTGAAATGGGAGCTCCTGTCCACTTTCCCCCCTCTTCATTGCCCGCTGCATGGGCCGATCTGGCCTGTTGGTCCTGGTGCAGTTGCACCGCCTGCACACTTTTGATATATTCGACACTGCTTGAGGCTTGTGAGGCTTTCCCCCGGTAAATAATTGCCATTATTATTATTCTCATACGTGTGTAGTGAGAGAGGGGAATAGGCTTGACCTCTCATGCAATCCAGAGGTCCCAGGGTTGTTAAGAAAGGTCAGGAATGTGTGATGACAGGAAGGAGAGGTACAGGCATGGACCTTATTTATAACCAGGTGAGAGCCCATCGAGACTCAGTCTTACAAGGGAGACCTGGGTGAGAATACAAATTAATACGTACGTACATACATACAAACGATCTGTGCATCAATAAAGAACAAGAACAACTGAAAAAATGTAAGAATAGATTAAAGTAATACATCTCAGCAGCTCCAATTCCTTTTCACAAACATACGAACATGCTCATAATAAAGGTTTTTGGGTTAGATCGCGTTATTTAGAAATGTGTCGTAACCCTCCACCACCCGACATGGCCAAAAAGCAAAAAAAGTGTCACGTTGACAAAAGTCAAATAATTCACTACTTTAGCCCACCGGTGTGTTGAAGAGTGAATCCACAACATTTACAGTTTGAGTACGACGTTTCGCTGGTAATTACATCCAGCATCATCGGGTAATTCGCCAGAATGGTAAAGCCCTCGCTTGCTCCCGGTCTTAAATAGAGCAGCAGGGTGACGTCATAATTTAACTAATTTTACACCGGTGGGCTAAAGTAGTGAATTATTTGCCTTTTGTCAACGTGACACTTTTTTGCTGATTGGCCGTGTCGGGTGGTGGAGGGTTACGACACATTTATAAATAACGCGATCTAACCCAAAAACCCTTATGAATAATATTGGTCGCGAAAGCCTACGTGTTAAACATACGAACATGCTGTCTGGTCATGCCCAAATGTTCGGGGAAATATAAATAACAACGTACAGCTCCTTGCCAATCCACTGCTGGATGAAGCCACCAGGCACTCCACAACGTTGTGGGTTGTTGTTAGACTATACTTAATCATTCTGGTAATTGCAGGTTGAAATCAGGG